TCTAAAACATCTTTTACTTTTAAACTAATTATAATGTCAACAACTAGAATTTAGGCTTATGCAGTTGAATAGAAAAATAAATAAAGTAAAAAACCGATTAATCAAAATTTTATATACTTTTAACCCCAAACTGTACAATAATACCATTCTTATCTTAAAGGGACTTAGATCCACTTCAAAATAAACCATCTAATTTATTTGTAAAAAAAATTATTTAAACTGCTGTTGTATTAATAACTTTTTGAACTATAAAAAAATTAAATTCTAAAACGGCAATCTAGGACAAGTATTAAAAGAATAAGAATAACAATACTACCAAATTATACTGAACTTTAAAGTTATAGTCTCAAGACTATAAAAGATCTTTAAAGTTATAATCTCATAATTCAATTAAATAAATTAAAAAAATTGACAAACTCATACCCATAATTGTATAACAAATTAAATATAACAGCTAAACTATCATTTTTCAATTAAAAATTATATTCCATGTGATTACAAATACCTATATCTAAATTTAAGAGGTTCAATAATTGAACTTATATACAGTACTTCTTTTGAAATAAAGTTTGAACTTTAAAGATCTCTGTCAATACCTAAATGAAAACTATTTAATGATAAAAAATTAAATTCTCACGCCTGTGTCCATATATCAAGAGCTGCGAAATCAATTCCAAACCTTACAACTCCCATTGTGACTCCAATTATTTTTTTAAATGCCAATATTTCCTCGATCACAACTTCGAATCTCTGCACATGAAACATTTTTTATTTTTTATCAATGCAATCACAAAACCTATTCGAGTAATAAGAAACAGTAGGATCTCGTATCTCACTTCTCAATTCCGACTACTTGACTCCGATTCCGTTAAATTAATAATATTATATTAATCGAAACATTGACCAAATTAAGAAAGAAATTTAATTATTAAAAAAAAATTTACGATATTAAAAAAAAAAAATTAATAAATTTTTCATCTATAACTGTAAAAGCATAAATCATATTATTTTATATGAAACCGATATGCATCAACTCATTAACTTTAACTAATATAACAATTCTTGTACTCAATGTACTCAAACTTAACTACACAGTGATAGTAACATCTTCTATTACTATATTCTACATTCTACTCCCTTTGAATTGCCTTTCAAATTTTTCACCAAAAATTTACAAAAGGGAAATTTACTCAATAAAAAAATCTTATAAATGCACTTACACCTTACAACACAACATACTACATTTGTTTTCAGCTGCCTTCTTGGATATAATAATTTGGAATATTTTAGTACTCGTACCCCCGATATTTTTGGCGATTATAAGTATATATTTTAAGAGAAATGCTACAAAGGTTTATTTTCTTGCATTTTACTCTTATGATATCATAAAAATACAAACAATCAAATTTGCATTTATGCAATTTATAACTTAATATAGCTAAATAAATATTTTTGTATGGATTTATGTTCATATATATATATATATATATATAATACTCCAAAAATTTATTACCTAAAATTCATACTCATAAATTACAAATCTCGAAAAAAAATAGTATTTTCCATTCGCGACTTGCGAGCAAAAGTAACGGTCAACAGACATTCTTCTCAAAAAATTAAGATTGAACATTTATTCCTTTTTATTTTCTCATATCTTATTCTCACTAAATATAAAAAGAAAATTTCTCTTATTTTTATTTCTTAAACACCAATAAAGAGAGAGAACACAAGCAGTGTACTCTCAGTGTTTTGATTCAATCCAAAAAAAACAAACAACAGAGAATAAATACCCTTTTCATTTACACACCAACACAAAGAAATGACATGTGCGCGCAATAGTGACTTTTAACATTCTTATTTATTAATTTTCTTTTTCCGCCGCGCCATCAATATTGCATTTTAGTGTATACATATTTATTTTATGTAAGTACATACATACGTATTTCCTTTTTTTTGCCTTCTTATTTACCCTTCCTTTTTTCGAATATGTATTTTGTAAAAATAATAAAATATTATAAAAATAAATAAAATAACATCCTTATATTTTATATTTCTTCTACATATACATATATTTATGTATGAACACATGTAAATATATGTGCGTATGCAGACAATGTGTATGAATAATATTTTTCATATGAAATTTTTATAACTCAATAATCAAAACATTGAGAGTATCTATATAATCGAAAACAAAAACACAACTTACTAATACATACGTATATACATGGAAGATAAATATAAATAATAATAATATAAAAAAAATATTCAACATTTTAAAGTACCTACCTACATATTCTTATCCATATATATATATATATATATATATATGTATATATTAATAAAATATATAACAATATAATATTAATAAAAATAATAGTAATAATAAAAATAATATTATATATACATATAAAGAATATAAAGAATAAAAGAGAAAATAAAATAATAAAAACAACAATAACAACAAAACACACATAAGAACTCACATATTGGGGATTTTGAAAATCCCAATGTTTAAAATATACAAAAAAAAATTTGATTTGAAAAAAAGTATCTTTTGAATTGAAGCAATCAGTCTTTGGATGGTTTCGTTGTGAACAGTCGCTTTTATATTTTGTTCTCTCTCCCATCAGACGGCGCGCGATATTATTATTATTTTTTTTTTGTTTTTTCCAAAACTAAAAAAAAAGCACCGTTAATAATAAAATTTATTACTAATAATAATTATTGTACACACTATAAAATTATTAATAATTAATTGTAAAATGAAAAAAAAAAGTAAAAAGAAAATTTAAATTGTATAATTAAAAATTAATTGAAATTTGATTTTTAATAAATTTTATTACATATAGTATGATGAAAAAAGAGTTTATAACATTAATCATAAGAAATATAACGATCATAATGTAGTGATTAATAATGTAATTAAAAAAAAAATAAGAATTTATAGAAAAATAAAAAAATATTAAAAATTAAAAATTTATTAAATAAAAACAAAATTATTAAAAATTCCAAAACAATTAAGTATTTTAACATTAAAAATTTTATTATTTTTTATTTTAAGAAAATATTATTAATATTTTAACATACGTTTTTAAATATACATAGTTACTTATAATAATTATTGTATTGAAGTGAATTCTATATAACTGAAAAGTGAAATGAAAATATAAAAAGAAATTAAAACAAAATATAAATAATAATTATTTTCAATTATAATTTAAAATAAATACATATATAAACAAACAACAATAACACAAAAAAAATTTTGTATATACATTTCTCATACAATATATTTGGCGGATATAATAACAATATTATTTTAATTAATTTGTTTTTTTTTTCATTATAATTATATAAGGTTTATTTTAATAATAATTACTTATATTTAAATATAATACTTGTAATTACTTTATAAATATATACATATGTATACAAAAATCAAGTATTTATACAAGTAAGAATAACCCGTATATACCATATTTAAAATACAGATTTTTAGCATTCACATACTTATAGAACTTCGATCGGTATGTACTTTTGGAAGTACATACTCATAATATAATATAATTTCTATATAACGTGTATATATATACATATATAGAAATTATTATAATAATGTAATTACATCATAAATAATTATTATAATCATTAATAATTTATATATACTTCCATATACTTATAAAAATTAAATAAGTATATTAAAATTATAATAAAGATATATTATGTAAAATATAATGTTTATTTTAATAATGTATAAACATTTGTACATTATGTATTTTACTTAAACAAGTATATATAAAAAAAATTGTAATTTTGTAGTAATATTTTAAATAAATAAATAAATATATAATGAAAGAATAAAATATAATTATATATAGCATTAATTTTTATTTATTTCATTCTTATAAATATATTTCATTAATGCTGATGAATTAAGATAAAAATCCACAATAAAAAAAATATATTTGAATTAAAATAGAAAGGGAATTTTAATAATTCATTTAATTATTACAATATAATAATGAAATTATTTATAAGTAGATATCTACATGTATAATGGCGTGCATTTGATTCAAGAAACGAAAAAAATTAAATATTACAAACAATAATTAAAGAAAAAAAATAAATAGAAAAAAAAAGTGCAATTAAAATTAATTTTATTTAATAATATAAGACAAAACAGCTGAAAAAAAAAACAAAAAAATTAATCTATAACACAATTAATTTAAATATTAAGAGAGAAAAAAAAAAACAGAAAAAAATTATTTAATAATTACTTTGTATTTATTGCAAAAAAAACGAATTGAAATACAAATTTCAAAGAAAATATTATAAAAATACTTGAATTATATTGGAAAATTAGAATGAATAAAGTTAAATTAAAAGTAAGAATTATTAATTGTAATTTTCAAAACAAGAAAATTATTTAATAAATTAATTAATTATTAAATATAAAAGTTTTATTATAAAAGAAATATCGAAATAAAAATGAATTAATAAATAATGTTTTTTTTTTATTTTTCAACTATAATTTTAAATCAATTGAACAAAAGCCACTCTCTTAGGATTGAAAAATATTTGTAAAATCAATTTAAAAAATATTTTTAAGTGAATAATATAATTATAATAAAATTATAATAATGATTGTGAAATTAAAAAATTGTTTCAGAAAATTCTGCTTTCTTTGTAAAAGTACTAAAATTAATAAAGAAAAAATTCATTAATATTAAATAAAACAAAAATAAATAAATTTTAAATAAAAACGTAAATAAATAAATATTAAAAATAATTTTGAATAAAAAAAAAATATGGAAAAAATATAGATTTTCATAAATTTAAATTACAATGAATGTGAAATTTTAATAAAACTTTTACTTATTGATCATCAAGGTAAAATATTTAAAATATAATACTTATTAATATTAAAATAAAACTTATTTATTAAAAATATATTAATGAAAATAGTTTCGATAAATTAAAAATTAAAATAAATTGACTCAAGAAACGAAAAAATTAAATCACACTGACGTCCAATTCAAGAAAAAGTGATAAAAAAAAATTGAATTTTTCTAAAACTAAAATTTTGCATTATTAAAAAAAACAAGAAGAAATAAGTAAAGTAAAAGAAACAACAAATTATAAATATGCAAAATAAATAAATTTAATATAATTAATATTTAAAATTCACATTTATAAAACATTATTGCATTAATAAACAATATAAAATGTCCCTGTATTTAGAAAAAAATTCAATTAAATAAAATATTGAACAAAAATTATTTGAATATTAAATTTAAAATATTTATATAACTTTTAATTAAAATCACAACTGCTTATATAAAAACGTAAAACTACTACATACTTATATAAAAACGTAAAAATTATATAATAATGTCATCCGAAGCATCCCCACCACCACCAATAATTACTTGTAAAAATATGTCACCGGACGCAATGTCTTCAAAATCAGCTACTGAATCAAATATAATTGATAAAACACAATTAGAAATTGGTGACCAAACACCACCTATCACACAACAACAACAATTTAAATTACCATCACCATCATCACAATCATCGGCATTATCTCCAGCATCTCCATTTTTAAAATCAAATACACCACCTGAAAATATAAATCGTTTAAAAGAAAATCAATCAAATTCATCTGCAATAACACCAACAACAATAACAAGTGCAGCTCAAGAAATAATAACTACAACTTCAATAGGATCATCATCATCATCATCTTCATCATCGTCAGCATCATCAACACATTCAGATGATAATATGTCACCTTCAGATGATATTAATAGACGTCCTCCATCACAATATAATATGAAAATAAATTTGGATAAAAATATTGATGCAATAGCTGAAAGTTTAAGTGAAGCAAATAATTTAAAAAGATCTAAAACTCCAATTCAAACATCATCATCAACAACAGCAACAACCATACAGCATCAAACATCAATAATACCAAAACAATCTTCAGCATTATTAGATGCAAAATTCACAAGTACATTTAATACATCAGCAACACCATCATCATCATTATTAACGACAACAGCAACAGCATCTGCAGGTGCATCAACAACATCACCATCATCACAACAATTCTGTTTACGTTGGAATAATTATCAAAGTAATTTGACAAGTGTTTTTGATGAATTATTACAAAATGAATCGTTTGTTGATGTTACTCTGGCATGTGACGGTCAATCAATTAAAGCCCATAAGATGATTTTATCAGCATGTAGTCCATATTTTCAAGCATTATTCTTTGATAATCCATGCCAACATCCAATTATTATAATGCGTGATGTCAAATACAGCGAATTAAAAGCAATTGTAGATTTTATGTATAAAGGTGAAATTAATGTTAGCCAAGATCAAATTGGACCATTACTAAGAGTAGCCGAAATGTTAAAAATACGTGGTTTAGCGGATGTTAGTAATGAAGACCCATCAGCTGACACACCATCTCCAACACCATTACTAAGTGAAAATAATAATTTTAATCGATCAAATAATAAATTAAGTGATTTAACGCTGAATCGTAGTAATAAGATTAAAAATAATTCAACAGCACAAATACATACAAAAGATTTTAGTAATCGTGAAACAACAAATGGTAATAAAGATTTAGCAACCAAAGAACGTGTATGTACACCAATTGTAGATAGAGAACATGAAATGAGGGAAAGAGATTTATTAATACGAGAGAAGGAAAGGGATAGAGATCGTGACAGAGATAGAGAAAGTCCATTTTTAAGAAAAACTGATTTCGAAAAATTTATTCCAACCAATGGACCCAAAATTGATTTTAATTCCGAACTCACATTAAAAAAGGCACGTCTATCACGGGATTGGGATTTAGCGAGTTTAGAAATTAGTTTACAACAACAGCAACAAAGGCACCAACAACAGCAGCATCAACAACAACAGCAACAACAACAGCAGCTTCGCCAGCAATTACCGGTCGGTGTCGCACATGAATTAATGATTGAAAGTCGTCTAAATGCAGCCCGCAAAAGACCACGTTGGCCTTCAATGGATAACTCACGTAATTTAGAGAGTCCTTTAGGTATACTTGAAAGAGCAAATGTTGGCGCAAGTTTATCTGAAAGATTAAGTAGTGAACGTGAAAGAGAGCGTGATCGTGAAAGGGAACGAGAACGAGAACGTAGTAGTCGACCCCAATCTTTAGGTGGTGCAAATAGTGATAATTTAATGGAACGTAATTGTAATCGAGATGAACGTGAAATTGTTAATCGTAGTGTTGGAAGCAATATTGGTACTGGAAGTATTGGTGCTATTGGTAATCGTAGTATTAGTGATTTACATGGTAATAGTAGTGGAACATGTACACCAGATAATAGTCATGATATATCGTCACCAGTTGCAAGTGCTGTTGCAGCTGCATTACAACAACAAGCAGCAGTTGCTGCTGCAGCTGCTGCACAACAACAGCAACAACAACAGCAACAACAAATTCCTCATCCGCCCGGAACACCACAACCACCAATTCCACCATTTCCACTAGGACCTGGTGGCTTAGATCCAGTTAGTTTAGCATCAATTGGTGGTTTAGGAGCTCACGTTGATGATTTAGAAATTAAACCAGGAATAGCTGAAATGATACGTGAAGAAGAAAGGGTAAGTGATTTAAATTTTTTTGAATAAAATTTGTATAGTAAACTTGTTTGAACCACACTTATAAAATATCCTTGTTTACATTTAATTGTGCGTTCAACAACCTTGTGAAATTTCACTTAATAACTATAATCAAAATATTCTAAAATAATAAAAACAACATTAAAATTAAAGGAATTCAAAAACAAAAGAGAATACTTAACAAGAACGTAAAAAATATAAGAAAAAATGATAGAAAATGAAATCAAAATATACTTACGTTATATTATTGTGTACAAACAAATATAAAACTAAAGAAAACATGATCAAAAACATAGAAAATAAAAATAACTGAGACGAAAAAAAGTTCGAGAAAGGGAAAAACCCAAAACTTCCTTTATTACATGAGGAAACTCCCATTGATAGAACAGTTTTTTTTCCTTCTCTCGTATAATAACAATCATCTCGTCCTTTATTCCACTCTCACAGCTATTTACGTTATATACATATACGTTATCTTTATAAATAAATTCATATTTTACTCACTTTAATGTATATAAATAGATTAAAAGATATCCTTGCCAAGGATTTCTAAGAAAACCTTGAAATATTTTCATTTTTCGTCACTTTCTTTTAATTCTTATTATACACCACAATTATATTTATACTTAAAAGTATGTATAAGTTCTACTCACAACGTGTTTTTAATTTTTCTTCAGGATTTTGTGTTTTGTTTCTTCATGGAAAACGGAAATATTTAAAGTCATTAACATATAAGTGTTTTTTGGAAAATAATTCTTCTTAACTTTAACTACTTTCATGTTATCGCGTTATCCTTCTGACTATCATTCATAGATCACTTGCTTTTGTTTTCAAAACGGTCTCACAAATTTCGGAAAATAAAATGCTAAATTCGTTAAATAACTTTCTAACAAGCGACAAACTTTCTTACAATTTCAAAATTTTAACAAACTAGAATGATTTCATTTACATGTATTAAGTAGTAAGATACAAGCTAACTATTTTAAAATGTAGAAGAGCCTAAAACCCCAATTTAATTGCATTTTATTTCATAATTTTGAAAATTCTTATTACTTTATAGGAAATTCGCGAAATCTTTCCTAAAATACTTAGAAAAAAGATTTTAGTCTTAGAGTCCGGTTTTCCTAAATTCAGATTTTTCGGAATTTCACAATTCCTAAAGGAGATTTTTTTTAATAATTTAAAAAAAAAAAATCGAAAAAAATTGTAAGAAAATTTTTCTATTGGTATACTACATTCACTTATGAAAGAAACAGTACATACTCGTATGTATACAGCTTTCACTTAAAAGAATCCCAAAAACTTGAAAAAATTCAATAGTTTTCCTAGAATTTTCATATTATAAAATAATAGATAAGAATATTATTAAATTCATAATGAAACTTTATTTTATTTATTCATTCACTCAGTCTCAGATGTGAGTTTATAAATATGTGTACATATTTATAACATATTTATAAGTATCCGTATGCACATTTCATACACATAAATACATTATTTTTGTAAATTGTTTAGTTCTTATTTAAAAGTAGAAGACACGGTCATTCATTTCTTATTTCCTCTAAACGTTTCCTTTTCTTTAAGAAATATTGAACATATTTCTTTCTTTTTTAAAACAAAAATTGAATTGGAGCGCATGAACAAATTATTTTTTATAACACACAAATAAATGAATATAAATATATATATATATATATATATATATATATATATATTTCCATTTATTTTTTTTATTGTAATTCAATTAATTAATTTAAAATATACAGATATACAGTAAGACACGGATAATTATACTTATATAAAAATTTTTTAGTTTAATAACTAAAGCCGGAACCTGGTATATCTAAAAAATTAAATAGTGAAAATTCCTTATTGTTCAAAATATTTCAAATATAAAAATTAAAGCGCTCAATGCAAAAAGATTATTCTCAATTAGTCAAAAAATAAATGTAACTAGCCTTTTAATAAATGTAAGGAGCCTTTTTAGCATACTATCAACGACGGTCGCACACTATTCAAGACACCTTATCTTTAAAATTTATATATATAAAATAATTCTCACTAGTATAAGGCTCACTATCCCCGCCTGTCTTGGATATCTCATATATGTTTAAAATTTAAATAAAAAATTCTCGGTAGTGCAGTGCTCAGTATCCCATCTGTTTACTTGTATATTAAATATACTTACATACATATGTTTAAAATTTATATAAAAAATTCTGGGCAGTATAGTGCTCAGTATCCCCATTTGTTTACTTGGATATCTCATGTTGAAAATTTATATAAAAAATTCTAGGAAGTAAAATGCTCAGTATCCTCATGTCCACTTGGATATCTCATTTTCTTACATATGCTTAAAATTTATATAAAAAATTCTCGGCAATCTAATGCTCAGCTTTTCAATTTGGCTGCTTGGATATCATATATGTTTAAAATTTATAAAAAAAATTCTCGGTATTACTTACATGTTTAAAATTTATATGAAAATTTCGCGGTAGTGTAGTCCTCAGTATTCACATCCGTCTACTTGGATATCTCATATACTTACACACATATGCTTAAAATTTATATAAAAAATTCTCGGCAGTAGAATGCTCATTATCTGCTCCAGTAGCATCCTCATTGTCTGAATCCCCATTTAAGTATGTGCTGGGACATATGTTCCAAATTTGTAGAAAAAATTCTCGGCAGTAAAGTGCTCGGTATCCTCATCTGTATAATTGAATATATAATATACTTACATATATTTAAAATTTATTTGAAAACTTCTCGGTATTGTAGTGCTCAGTATCCTCATCTGCCTACTTGGATGTAACATGTTCTTACTTTTCTTTAAAATTTATATAGAAATTTCTCGGTAGTATAGTGCTCAGTATCCCCACCTGTCTACTTGGATATCTAATGTACTTACATGTGTTTAAAATTTATATGAAAACTTCTCTGCTTGGACATCTTTTATTTGTTTATAATTTATATAAAAAGTTCTCGGTAGTGAAGTACTGAGTATCCCAATCTGTCAACTTGGATATTTCATACATGTTTAAAATTTATATAAAAAATTCTCGACAGCAAAGTTCTCAGTATCCGCATTTGTCTACTTAGAAATGCAATACACTTACAAATGTTTAAAATTTATATGAAAATTTCTCGGTAGTATAGTGCTCAGTATCCACATCTGTCTGCTTTGACATCTTATATATGTTTATAATTTATATAAAAAATTGTCGGTAGTGTAGTGCTCAGTATCGCCATTTGTTTATTTGGATTTCTTATATATGTTGAAATTTGTATAAAAAATTCTCGGCAGTAGTGCTCAGTTTTCCCATCTGTCTACTTGGATATCTAATATACTTATATATGTTTAAAATTTATATGAAAATTTCTCGGTAGTATGGTGCTCAGTATCCTTACCTGTCTACGTGGATATGTCATATATGTTTAAAATTTATATAAAACGGTAGTATAGCAGCCAGCGCCCCAACCTTGCATGAACTAAATAAAATATGATTGATTTCGTCTAATATTTTATCATTTTGCTTATGAAAAATATGACTATCTACGATCTCCACTGTATATTCGCGTAAATGCACCCAACTCTACATTATATGTGAATATATTCTTATTATAATAAAATATATGTATAGATTAAAATATATCTGTATAACTATATAAATTCGTTGTAATATAAGCACATGAATAAGTATTGAAATGTTGCTGTTTATTTTTATATTATATTATAAAATCCAATATAAGTAAATTAATGTATAGAAATAAAATATAAAAGATATAGAAAAAAAATTAAACTAAATTGATATAATAAAAATTCGATAAAGAATAACTTTGTTATAAATTATGTGTGTATGTGTGCTTGTATACATAAAAAAATTTATAACGAAAATAGCGTCTTATATATGACACACATGACTAGAAAACTTAAAGTTTATTTGATTAATAATTGACATAACGTATTATTTTTTTTATTTTCACAGCATTTTGAATTACATTATATATATATATATATATATATATAAGTTGCTCAGAATTTCATAAACACGTAAAAGCTCTTCTAATGTATTAAATTTACTGCAACTACAAATTGATTTAGTAGCAGTATACTGAAAATTGTTCAAGAACCTAAGAGCACCTATATTTTTAACATTTTTGAACTTATTGTCTTGCGCATAAAATATACTTGGTATCCAGTTCTCTTCACTTAAAGTTAAGATCTAATAGAGTCGAAATACTGTAAAAATAATTACTTTTTAATTGGAGTTAGAGATATAGTTCGAAAGCCTAGATTGTAGGCTTTCACGATTAATTGATATTATTTTGTTTTTAATTCATTTGAAGAGATTAAAGTGATTATATTCTTCACATTTCTTTTTTAATTTCTCCAATAAAAAGTTTTTAATAATTCATGATTTTTATTTTTTAATTTTAAATATCATTTAAAATTGAAAAACTCAGATTTGTTCTTCTGCATTTCGTTTGGTTTATTATCAAATCTGAGGCTTTCGAGAAGGTTCATATTTTTTTTAAATTATTGTACATACCGAAAAATTAACTTAAATTTATATTATATAAACATAAATTTAGAAAAAATACATATATATTTACAAATTCTATAAAGATAGAGAATATTCAAATTTTTATATAATTTATATTTTGTTTAATTTAATAAAAGAAAAATAACAAACAAACAATAATTAAACTTTTAATTATTTCAACAAAACAAAATTTTTCTTTTTTTTTCTGGCTAATTTTAAAAGTGGCACAAACTAAAATCCAAAAGTTAAAAATCCTAATGAAAATTTTATTTGTATGTCAAATATTAAAATTTTTAAAACATAATTTATTCAATAAATTTTGTTTCAAACACATTTCAACACAGAGAATGGCTTTCTATTTGTTTTTTCCTCAAGCGAAATTTACTGATAATCAAACTTCCGTCAACTTTTAGCTATATGAGATAAATATTTGAC